TTCTTTATGGTTTTACTGGTTTTCATTGTTGTAGGTTGTCCAGAGTTGCCTCAAAGTGAGATGGTTGGCAAAAAAATTACAAAACTAATAAATAAAGTAAAATAAATTAAAAAGTTTGTGTTAACACGAAACATGAATTCTTCCTATACTACTTTATCTTGAATCTTTCATTAATTCTGACATCTCAGTTCATGAAATCATAGCAAGTTGATTATCAAGTATAAGAGACTTTCTAAGTAAAAAAATCAGCAGAAGGTAGTAATAGTTTGATTTCTTTCATTAGCTAAAATGAAATGATTATTTAGACACCTGTAGTTTAGTTAGTTTAGTCATAAAGGAGCAGTAGTGGTCATTTAATGCATTATTATTCTATTTTTATCATTGGGGAGAAAAAACAGTAGTAGGAATGACAGCTTAATTTAACTGGATGAGTGTTCATTTGGCAATGTTGTATTTCTGCAGATGGCTAAATGTTTGGGCAAATCCTAGGGTTTACGTTATTCTTTATAAAGCCTACTACAGTAAAAAGATGGCCAATTACCCATTTTGTATGAATAAAACTTTCCAAATGCTTTCAAAAACAACAAAACAGCAAGATGATCAACAATAAAAATATCAAAATGTATGCAATACCATTGTAGGGAAAATGTCATAATTTTAATTTAAAAGTATAGGAATGTATGCAGAATTTCCCAAATAATAATATATTTTTTTCAAAACTCAAACCACATTAACAATGGGAAAACAGAGGGTTTTCCCCCCAGATATTTATGTATTTTAGAAGTCATCCAATTGCAGAATGATTCTGAATCATTTACATTTAAAATAAGACAAAATAATAACTCCAGGTCTTGAAGGACAGACATGTTTTAAAAAACTTGTGGAATGATGGGATCTAGATAGATAGGGAATCTTAATCCAGAGAAGACAGACCTCCTGGGTCCTAATAATTGGCATTGATTGAGAGGACTCAAATTGCACCAACTCTGTCTGATCTTATTGGATGGACAAACATGATCTATAATCCTCCTATGAAGGCATAAAAGGAAGAACTTAATGGGACGTTATCAATGGCTTGGGGGGTTGGACTAGATGATCTACAAGATCCCTTCCAACTCTGTTAATCTGTAATCTGCTTGAATTAGCCCTCAAACTTCAATGGCAACAAGGGCAGCCAGTGGAGCAATGGAATCATATGGGCATATAAATCATTGTCAATGCCATTGCATTCTGAATCAGCTGCAGCTTCTAAGTAGTCTTCAATGATACTCTACGTACACCACATTGCAATTTTCTGACATAAATGACCATCTGGAGAATTCCTGATCTAGGAAAGGCTGCAACCATTGAACAGATGAAACTGTACCAAAGTCTTAGCTGTGAATCCAAAATGACCCCTACATTGAGCACCAAAGGAAGATATACAATTGAAATAAAATTGTGGAAAAGGCCCAAGTTATTTTAAAGAAACATGACAATGTATATGTTGAGTTGTCCATCTTAGATATTAGTTCAATACATAAAAATTCATCAACTGCCAAGTCATTTGGATGCTTTTTATTAAAATGGTTCCATAAATTAAATTAAGGAATGCAATGATTGCTGAGCAATTGATATATGAATTTGATATTTTATATATGTATTTATGCCTTTATCAAATTCCCTTATTAGGTAAGTAAACCTTTATTGGAGCATTTGACCAACATATGCAATACACGCACACACACACACACCAAATACATAAATATATTTAAAATTAGAAACCAAACTAAAAGAAAGCATGAAGACCAAAGGAAAGTAGTGATAACAATGTTCTCCTTGAAAAAAGGATAGTCTATTTTTTTTCAAATAAAAAAACTTAATAGAAACTGTGGAAAAACAAATACTTGTGTAACGATTAGATAAAACTATATTTACTGTCTCAAAACTAGATAGATTAATAAGCCTGAACTAGAGTCCTTTGCTGTAGGATAATGACCAAAGGACTACAATATGTTTAGTAATCATATAGTCTAACAATACTTGAATTCCTTAGTAAACAGGAATTGAGCCTCGGGATTGTGGCTTTTGAAATTAGGGTGTGTTTAGACTTGGAGGCTGCCCAAACTTCTTTCACATCTAGAAGGAAAAGCACCATGCCAAACATATGTAATCAGCAAAAAAAAAAGTGATTACATTTTGAAGAAAGATCATAAAACAAATGCTCCCATATGTTGTAGAGATCAAATAGAATATCTGAGAACTTGCACTGCAATGTTTTAACTATATAGTGAAAAGAATGTTCTGATCTGACAATTAATGCAGTGTGTGAAAAATAACAGAAAAGGTCATGTAAGTTAATAAAGAATTTTAGAATAAGGAACAACTTATTCTAAAATGTATGTGTGGGTATAAGTTTTGCTTAACATCTAATCAATTCAAGTAAGTAATTTATCATCTCCTGAATCAGAAATTGTGGGTCAAAGACAAAGGAGAATGGGAACCATTTAGTTCTCACCATCCTAACTTTCTTAATGGAGAAATGAATGAAATGATTATCTAAATCAGTATATTTACAGCATATATGGCACATCAGAGTTGTTACTGAGTTTATTTTGAGTGAATTAGATGAGTGAATTAGAATAGAATAGAATAGAATAGAATAGAATAAGCTGGAAAGGACCTTGGAGGTCTTCTAGTCCAGCCCCCTGCTCAAGCAGGAGAACCCATACTATTTCAGATAAACGACTGTGTAGACCACAGGTGTCAAACTTGATCATATCATTAGGCAGGTATTTGGGTCACTTGGAGTTTCTCTAAATAGAAATGCATGATAAAATATTTAGCAGAAATTAAATGAATTGTATATAATCCAAAGTTTTCATCATTTTATACAGCTCACCTGGATAAGAGGACATACTCTGAAAATAAAAATAGATGCTACCTAGGGCTGCATTAGCTTTTTTAAGCAGCTGCTGCACACTTTTGGCTCATACTTAAGTGCTGGTCTGCTAAGACACTAACTCCCTTATTTGCTACGGTTGAGCCAGGCACCACCTATTTTATACCTGTGTATTTGATTTTTCTTCTCCATATGTGGCACTTGCTTTTCTCACCACTGAACTGTATTTTGTTGAATAGGATTCACTGTTCAAACCTGTCAAGACCCTTCTGAATCTTGAGTCTATCTTCTAATTGTTACATATTTCCCCTAGCTTGGTGTCATCTGCAAATCTGACAAGTTCCCTTTCTACCCAGCCCCATGTATATCATTTATGAAGATGTTGAAGAGCATCTTCATAAATTACATAGGGCACAGAACCTTGAGGTACCCCACTGCATGTTTTACTCCATGTAGAAGTAGTTCCATTGAGGACTACATCAATGAGTCCTGGTGGTGCAGTGATTAGAGTGCAGTACTGCAGGCTACTTCTGCTGCCTGCCAACTACCTGCTACCTTCAGTTCAGCGATTCGATTTTCACATGCTCAAGGTTGACTCAGGCTTCCATTCTTCCAAGGTCAGTAAAATGAGGACCCAGATTGTTGGGGGGGGGGCAATATGCTGACTCTGTAAATCGCTTAGAGAGGGCTGTAAAGCATTGTGAAGCAGTATATAAGTCTAAGTGCTATCGCTAAATGCTGCTGGCCAGCCAATTGCAAATCCATCTGGTGGTGCACTGTTTATCAAGAAGTAGGCTATGGTTTTGTTTTGTTAAATATATCAAGTATACTAAGTATTGGTTAAATATACCAACTAAACTGTCCACAGCATTATCCACTGATTAAAACATAATTAGTTCCATAGTAAAATAAAGATGTCTGACATCACAAAAAAACTTTCACAGTGAATTTTTAAATAGTAGAAGAAATTAAAATGTATCTTAGCTATTCCGCAATGAAATCAGCAACTGGATTTAAAAACTCATTAACAAATAAGAATAAATCAAAATTTTCTTTGAATAAATATATTTGGTCATGATATTTTTTTCAATGTATGATATCAGATGTAATAATGAGGCATCATATGAATTCTAGAAAGACCTCCAAAGGTCCGTAAGATGGTGTGGATCTCTATGAGAAGACTTGAAACAAGGCCGGCACTGGATCTATACAATATAATCCTGTATACTCTGTTGACATATAGTTAGAATGGGAAAGAGTGCACTAAGTGTAAATAAATTTACACTTATTTATTTATTTATTTTGTCAATTGCTTACAAGATAATAGGTATAAGTAAAAACATAGTTATGAATACATGGATACATATAAGAAAAATTAAAAATAAAATAAAAGAAACAATAGGACAGGGATGGTAGGCACATTGGTGCGCTTATGCACATCCCCTACAGACCTCTTAGGAAAGGGATGAGGTCAATAGTAGACAGTCTAAGGTTAAAGTTTTGAAGGTTTGGAGAAAAAACCACAGAGTCAGGTAGAGTATTCCAGACATTGACCACTTTGTTGCTGAAGTCGTATTTCCTGTAATCAAGTTTGATGCGATTAACCTTGAGTTTGTATCTATTGTTTGCTCTTGTGTTGTTATGGTTGAAGCTGAAGTATTCATTGACAGGTAGGACATTGTAATGTATGATTTTATATACTATACTTAGATCGGACTGAAGGCGGCGTAGTTCTAGGTTTTCTAGGTCTAGAATTGGCTCAATGGAAACAACAAATTTAACAAAGAAATATAAATTCAGGGAAGAAAAAGACAGCTCCTTCTATCTTCCTTTTGGCACAAGCCCAACAAATCTTGCCTTCTGGTAATTAATCCACCCTGGTTTCTCCATCTCTGTATGACTTCTCTGTAAGGGAATCTAACCCTAATTTATAATACTGAATCCAGGCCTGTCCAATTTCACAATTGGTAACATTCTTTCAATTTTTGCATGGTATTTACATTTAATTGTCACTGTGATATTGTTCTACCATAGCAATACAATCAGTCATAATCGTGATTCTGCCATTTTTGGCAAACATTGTAAACTATAATTAGTACATTTTTGCTTTGTTACTCACATTCTCATAAAGAGCTTGAAGAGTCTCTAAGTCCACCACCGAGTTGTCCAAGTTCATGACAGCTATGAAAAAGGCAGACAAAAATTTAAAAAAGGATTACATTTCAAGAAAAGACTAAGCACTATACAGACACTTTTTTAAAAAAAAAAAAAAGTTATTTACTGTCCATACAGCTTAATGGATCACAGTTTATTAATGTCTTTAGAAAATGTTCCATCTAACGGTAGACAAGAAAACTAGTGGAACCTGGCATTTACATTTTAATACAGTCAAGTCAACTTCCCCCCACAATCAGCTGCTGGGCCCGCCCACCCTGGCTCTATTCTGACCTTTATTTCCTGGTTTTGAAGCTCAGCTGCTTCGGTACAACAGATTGGCGCTCGTCAGCTGTTGAAGACACAGGGAGAATGCAGGACTGCAGGAGAAGGTCAGTAGCAAACCCTCTGCGTGTGTGTGTGTGAAACACGCGTTTGACATGCGCACACAAAGTGCAGCCACCAAACCACGCCCACAGAACCAGGGATAAAAAAATTTGAATCCCACCACTGGTGAGCTTATTGTTACCCATGTTACAGAAAAAGTCAAATGGTAACAATAAGTTTTACATCAGAGTTTTATGGTCTGACTTTAAAAAATACACATTATAGTCAAACAGCAAAGGGGACCTATCTCTAGCTGAGTTTCAGCCTTTGACTATTTAATCCATGGATCAACCTTACCAGATATCCAACTTATATGTAACAGATATAAGTTTGCTTAAAGTAACCTATGTCGTTAGTCATTATACAAACAGTTCCATAAGTATGACTTCAAAAGAGAAGTTTCATTTAGAATTAAACAGGAAGGGCAAGTAACATATTTAATAATAGCAAAGATATAAGGATTTAGGCTGGTAAGACAGAATTCATTAAGAATGATTTCAAAAGTTTATCTTAGTGCTACTTAAAAAGAAACCAAGAAAGCAAAATTAGTTTTTAATATATAAAAATCTCTAACAGAGAAAGGAGATCAAATTTCCATGACTTCTGACAGGCAGGAAACATTCAGATAGAGAAGCATGTATACCAGTCTTTTAACCATGCAGCCTGGTTACATCATACCAGAACAGATTATCTAGTGGGGCAACTGCAAAAATCTTGGTTTATCTTTATTAAGGAAAACCATTCTTCACATATTGAAATCAGCCTCTGTTAAATTCACATACCATGTTTGTTTATAATTTACCAAGTCCGGAACTGTATTTCAACAGAATTATCCACATGACAGGCTTTCTACACACCCTATAAAGTCATTTATTTAAAATAGGTTTCTGTCACCTTTTACATTTTATCAGAATGTCAGGTCTGGGGTAGAACTTACATATAATAACTACTAAAACAAAATAACTACTAAAGTAAAGTTTCATCATCATTTTAGCCATTGTTTATCCACTGTAGGATGAAGGCCTCTTCTGCATGTTTCCAACCAATATGGTCCTGAACTTAAATTTAAAGAACTTAATTAAAGCTGACACAATCTAGAAATTCCCAAGAAAACAAAACAACTTGAATGGGGACAAGGTACTATTGTAGTACCAAGTCCATGTGAGTTATATTCTTTTTCAAGATAGTTTTTTATTAGTTTATAATATAGCATACAAAGAAAATACAAAAGTAAATAGTAGGGAAAATAGGGAAGGGAAAAGGGAAGGGAAAAGTAAGGGAAAGAAAAGGGGAAAAAGAAAAAAAGGCATTGACTTCCAACTTCCTGTGGTGCAGTAGAATAGGGTATTAACTAAAAGCCTCAACTTTTTACTTTTACATGATCGTATTAATTAGCCATTTCTATTGTAACAAATCTCTTTAATTGGTATAACCCAAAATCAAAGTTTTACTTTTTTCCACCTCAAGTACAAAGTCCAGAGGTGGTTTCTAGTAGAAATAATATTTTTTTCTTTGATCAAAGAGGTCAATTTAGCCATCTTTATTATCTCCATCAGTTTTTGCAGCCATTCATCCATTGTGGGGATCGAGGCAACCTTCCGTTTCTAACATAAAGTAGTCTTGCTGCCATCAACATATATAACATCAAAGTTTTGATTTTTTTTTCAGGTCTTTTTTCATTAAACCCAAAAGAAAAAGTCTCTGGTTTTCTTTATATTCACTGTAAGAATTTTCTATATTAAAATATGAATCCCACTCCAACATTTCTTGGCTTTATCACACATCTGCCATAAATGATAAAAAGTCCCTTCTTTATATTTACATTTCCAACATTCATTTGAAGTACATGTGGGTTAGATTCTTGAATTTTAATTTACCATAAATATTCTGTCCTCAGAGGAGAGATATCAAATCAAATCAAATCTTTATTATTGTCATAGACTAGTGGTTCTCGACCTTTTCTTCACCCTGGATTCTCTTTAAATACCCTTTGTTGTCCTGACTATGGACATGGACCTCCAAGATTTAACTCGAGATTTAAATCATAACATTTTTTCAAGCCTTTGTAGACCCCTTGTGATGACATTGTATACACACACACCAGCATTCTGTGGAGCACAGGTTGAGAGCTACGGTCATAGACCATCATAAGAAGGGTAGGGAAAACTATGGATTTTGTTGACTCTGAAAAACATCCACTGATGTCTTTTCTGACTGCAGTTAAGTGCCATACACCCAGCCCCCAAAAGGGAGAAAACCAGCCATCTGATTACAATGCAATTGCTTTCATGTTTCTTCTTTCTTCTATTTAGCATTTTCTTCTGCTTTCTATTTAATCTATATACCTATAAGGAAAATCTTGACCTGGAGCAAAACTTAGCTTGAATTTCCTTTGACAATTCCTGACAAAAACTTAACAACAGATTACATTGCCCTCTATAAATCAGTACCTTTCACTGTTGCTAAATGATTTTGTGTATACACCTCAAGATTAGAGACAATATAATTCATGCTCATTTGTTTTTCATTGCTGTAAAGCATTTAGTGATAAAATCCAGTGTCTGGGACTCATCACATTTTCTCCCTACAGGTCTGAAATATAACTTTAGTTACAGTATAATAAAAGAATATATAAATAAGGAAATGTTGATCTTGATTGCATGAAGCAGAGTCCAGAGTGTTCTTAAAGATTGGAGGGAAGAATTAAAAAAAGATAAAAATAACATTCCTTCTTTTCAGGATATATTCTTTTTTCCAGAGTCTTCTGAAAAAAAAAAACACATTTCTTTTTTCCAAATTGTTTTATCATGTTTTACTTCTTTCCTTTTCTCATTTACCTATTTTCACAAAACAGTTTTGTTTACCAATAACTTATCTTTTTATACATCTGTATGAAATATTTTAAAAGTTAGTTCCCTATGATATATGTTTTAACTGTTTTTCTTCTTGTAAATTGTAAAAGTTAATTTTTTTATAAAAGCTTTCTAAAATCAAACATCTAGTCCTTAAACTGAATAAATTGCATTAACATTTCAGCAAATCAGATTGCCTCATTTGAATAGCAACATAGATCAATATCATAATGCACCACAATAGAATTTCATGTAAGTTATTTTGCATGTAAACCAAAGCAAATCATCTCCCTACAGTAGAATAGCTAAGTACAGTTTTAATTAAGTGTGGGCCCCCATGTATCAAATATAACAAGCAAAGTCTAAGAGATGGCAAGAAAGATTTGATAAAGAACAAGATGGGGGAAGGGAGACAGGAAGATAAAAATATACCTTGTTTTACAGATGCATTGTCATTTCCTATTTTCAATAAGCAGAAATTGTCTATGGTTAACTATACACTTCATTATGAACAAAAGCTTGCAAGGTATTTTATGATGGAATAGACTGAATCTATCTTGTACAGACAATATTATCCACAAGGATTTAAAGGAATACAAGATTTCAGGAAAATTGCAAAGGGCAGGTGTAATCAGTTTAAAAGGAATCAAATACTTTACACAACCCAAACATTTATTCATTTTTAAAAATTTTTTTATCTTGCCCTTTATAAGTACCTTAAGGCAGTCAGCATACATAATACTTTTGCCTCCTATTTTTCCCACAGCAATGCAGTGAGGTGGGGTTATCTGGGCAAAGGCAGAGTAACTAACCCAAACAGCTGTTATGACTAAAAATAAATATAAGCCATCAGTGTGTAGCAAAAATAAATAAATATGAGCTAACTATGTGTGGCAGCAGCCAAAAAAGCCAACATAGTCCTAGTCTGTGTTAATAGAGAGATAGAATCACGATCACGTGATATTCTAGTATTGTTTTACAAAGCATTAGTAAGATCACACTTGGAATACTGAATCCAGTTCTGGTCACCACAATATAAAAAAGATGTTGAGACTCCAGAAAGAGTGCAGAGAACAGCAACGAGAATGATTAAGGGACTGGAGGCCAAAATATATGAAGAATGGTTACAGGAATTGGATATGTCTAGTCTAATGAAAAGAAGGACTAGGGAGACATGATAACAATATTCCAGTATTTGAGGGGCCCCTACAAAGATGAGTGGGTCAAACTATTTTCCAAAGCACCAAAAGGCAAGACAAGAAACAAGGGATGGAAACTAACCAGGGAAAGAAGCAACCTAGAAATAAGGAGGAGACATTTCCTAACACTGAGAGCAGCCAACTAATGGAACAGTTTGCCTTCAGAAGTTGTGGGTGTTCCATTATCGGAGGCTTTCAAAAAGAGACTGGACAACCATTTATCTGAAATGATATAGGGGGTTTGAGCAGGGGGTTAGACTAGAAGACCTGAATTCTACCTTCTATGTTCTAAAATTCAAAGCCTCCTGATTTTCAGTCTTCCTGGAAATCACAAGACTGAATTTTAGAACATAGCACCATAACCACTACACTAAACTGGCTTTTACTTAATTATATAATTATTATATATTTAATTATATTATAATTATATAACTGTAAATTTATATTACAGTTGTATAATTACAATATATAATAACTATTAAATACAGAATATTGTCCTCATGATAAACACCTGTACAGATTTAACATGCAAAATGTTTTCCCAGTCTTTCCCCAAGAGTGTTGCTGAAGACCTATTGTTAAGAAGTTA